TGCTCTCTTGAATCAAGTATACCGTTAAGCAGTCGCATGTGTAAAATGCAGGACAGATAAGTTACAAGTTACTTGCTGGTGGGTCACGGTTCCCGCCTAGCCTAAGCCTCCGCCCCCACGGCCTTGGCGGTGCTGGGGCTGAGCTCCGCCGCCATCTTGCTCAGGCCGCCACTGCTGCCGCTGGCGCCCTGCCCCTGCACAGCGGCGAGCTCCTCCTCCAGCCCGCGCACCTTCTCCAGCAGCTGCTGCTCTTTCTGCGGGGCGCGGCAGTCGGCAGAGTGGCAGTGAGGGAGGGCAGGGCAGGAGGCAGAAGGCAGCAGTGCTGCCCGCCAGCGCCGAGCGCCGCACCTGCTGGCTGCGCCCGCGCTCCACCATCAGCATGCGCTGCACCACAGCACACATGCGCAGCATCGGCACCTGTGCAGGAAGGGTGGCAGGGGAGGTGTGTGGTGCCTGGGAAGCATTGTCTTTGTATCTGCACAAGCGCAGCAGGCGTGGGCACCCCTGCCACCCCCTCCTGCTGCTCACCGCCATCTTGGTGTCGTTCTTGGGCACGCGGTTGAGCTCATAGGTGGGGCGCCGCAGCTGGCCCAGCAGAAGGCAGCTGCATGGGAGCCAGCAAAGAGGCGTGGCGTGAGGGAGGCCGCTCCAGGCTGCCCCCGCCAGCCACTGCCGCCCGCCTGCCGCCCCCACACCCACCTCTCAAGCACCGAGCCGCGCGGCAGGTCGTCCAGCACCAGCTCGCCGCCGTCTGCAGGCAGGGCGGGTGGCAGCAGCATAAGACCGATCATCAGCATGGCACCCCGGCCACCCCTGCACCAGCGCGGACAGGCAGGCAGGCAGCCAGCCACGCCCACGCCGCCCTCCACCCACCCAGGTTATCGTGAATCTCCCGCCTGAAGTCCTTCTTGAAGGCCTCGTACTCCTCCACCATGGCCAGAGGCACGGGGCAGGCAGGCGCGCCGGGGGCAGCTCCCAGGCGCTGCGCCTTGGCGGCCGCCGCGTCCACCTGCAGGGCGGGGTGGGGCGGGCGTGCGTGAGCCAGCAGCGCGCAGATGGCACTTGAGCTGCCCGGCTGCCAGTCCAACACATGCCAGCCTCGAGCGCCCACCCCCCACCCCACCCCAACCCACCCACCAGGCCGTACTCGGTGAAGCCCAGCCCCTGGCGCATGACCAGGTACTTGCCGGTGGAGGTCTCAGACAGGATGTACTCCGCGGGGTGGCTCCCCCAGTCGCACGCCTGCAGCAGGGGCGGCCGCACCGTCAGGCAGGTGTGACGCATGCGGGACAAGAGGATGGCAGCCTGAGACGGTGGCGGCCAAGTCTGGCGGAACTGCTAGCCGCGCCAGCCCTGCCGCCTCACCATGCGCTCCTCTTCGTCATCGCTCTCCTCCCCTCCTGCCTCCTCCTCATGGCTGGAGGCGGGCGCCACCTCCTCCCCCTCCTCATCCTGCTCGGCGTCCTCAGCAGCCGCGGCAGCAGCCTTCTTGCCACCTGCAGCAGGATGCAGCATCAGCAGGCAGGCTCCTCAGTCGCAATTTGCGCCCTGTCCGGCTGGCCAAGCCCCCTCTGCCACCATCCAACCCACCTGTGCCGGCCTTGGCACGCTTGCGGATGGGGCCTTCGCCGCCGCCCGCTGCACGCTTCTTCTTCTTGGCCTCAGCCGCCTCCTCACCGTCAGCGCTGCCGCCAGCCGCCGCTGCCGCCTTGGCCTCCGCCTTGAGCTCCTGCAGGTGCACAGGGCACATGCTGAGGTCAGGCCTCGAGGATGGCAGGCAGCCAAGGGGCAGATGGACCGGCCCAGCCCACCCAGCACACACCTTGGCCTTCTGAACAAAGGGCGCCTTGTCCTCCTCGGAGCACTCCTTCCAGGCCGCGCTCATCAGCTTGCTGATCTCGGGCATGCCCGCCTGCGCCACAGGCGGCGGCAGCAGGCAGGTGGTAGGTGGCAGCCAAAGGCGGCGAGGCTGGAAGGCATGCAGGTGCGCAGCCCAGCCCTGCTGCCTCCTCCCACCTTGGGGTTCTCGGCTTTGATCGCGGGCATCCGCTCCGCCGTGAACAGCTGGTAGGCTGACTGCAGCAGCGGGGAGGCAGGGCAGAGGAGGGTTCCATGCATGTCATGGTGGCGGACCAGGTCATGGCTGCGAGCAGGCATGAGTCAAGGCTAGCAGTGGAGACTTAGCAGCACGGCGGCAGCAGCACCAGCGCTCACTTTGGTGTGCGGCAGCTTGGGCCCCTTGGCCTTCTTGGGCTGCGGCCCCGCCGCCTCCACCTCCTCCACGTACCGCTGCTTGTCTGCCGCCGCCGCATCCTGCGGGTGACGACCCAGCATGTGGGGGCACGCATGTCCGTCAGTGGCCAGCAGTGTCAGGCAGCCGTGGGGCAAGCAGCATGCAACACAACCTGGGCGCCCCCAGCCCACGCAGCAGCCGCCGTTCCTCACCTCATACTTCTTTTTCTCCTCAGCACCCAGCCCACGGTACAGCTCCCCAAGCTTGCTGGTCAGCTCCTTGTTGCCCAGCTCGGGGTGGTCAGCTGCAGGGGGCAGGCAAGCCGGCCGGCCGGCAGTGGCGGCGGGTCAGGCACAGCGCAATCACCACCGCGGCGTCGAGCAGGGCTGCACCTCGGCTGCTGCCGCTGGCGCAGCAGGCTGCCAGGCCTGCCTCACCCTTGACCTGGCCGCGGTTGGCGTTGACGTATTGCATGTAGGCATTCAGCGGGCGCTTGACCTTGGGAGCCGCCTCCCCGCCCTCCTCAGCCACACCAGCCTTGCCAGCGGCAGCTGCTGCCGTGGGCTTGGGCTTGGGCGTGGCCTTGGTCTTGGCTGCGGCCGCCACCTTGGGCTTGGCGGCAGCTGCCTTGGGCTCAGCCTGCTTGGTCTCTGCAGCTGATCGATCAGAGCACACCAGCGGTTTATAGGTGCTGTGTGCCGCACCCCACGCCTGGTCAAGCAGGCCAGCACCCAGGTGACCGTGCCACACAGTGATCCCCTCCGTGCTCCACTGCTCATGTCCTCTACCTTGCACCCACCTGGCTGCTTGTCCACGTTCTCCTTCTCCTGCGCCTCGTCCGCGGGCTCGGCAGGCGGGGCAGGGCGGCCCTGCATCTTGACAGGGGATGGGAGCTGTGGTTGGTGCGCCGGCTCCCCTCTGCAGCCTCAGCCTAGTGATTGCATCAGAAGCGCAGCACCCAGCACCCACGCCACCAGCACCCACCTTGGCCTTCTTGGTGGGCACCGCTGCCACCTTGGCGGGAGCTGCTCCCGACTTGGCTGGCACAGTGGCAGCGGTCTTGGGCTCGCCGCTGGTAGCAGCTGCCCTGGGGGCCTGCAGGTGTGGAGATGGGTGCAGGTTGCGCGCAATTCAGCAAGGGGTCATGATGCGACAGCAACAAGCTGGGTGCTGGTCAACCAGGCAGGCAAGCGGCGGCCATCGCCACCCTGAGCGCCAGCACCCACTCACCGCAAAGCCCTTGCGCTTGAGGCCGACGGCCGGCTTCTTGACGCCGCTGGCAGCACCAGACGCTGCGGGGCCCTTGCCGGCGGGCTCAGCCTCGGGCGGCGGGCTGGAGGCGTCGGCAGCGGCAGGCTCCTCGGCGCCCGGCTCCTCTGCAGCACCCGCCTCCGGGGCAGCCGCCTCCAGCAGGACGTGAGGGCTGCCGGCGCAGGCAGGTTCCTCACCCTCGGCCTCGGCCGACTCGGCGATGGGCTCCTCCTCAGCACCCGCCTCGTTGCAGGCGGCCCCCTCGGCCTGCTCGGCCACCTGCAGGCTCCATGGGCAGATGGGGGCAGCGTGTTTGCGTGCCAGGGCAAGCAGCACGGCTGCATTGACCAGTCTGCAAGCACAGGTTGCGGCACCGGCAGGCGGGCGCTCACCTCCTCCTCCACGGCCGCCTGCTCTGCCGGGGCATCACTGCTCTGCTCGCCGTCGTCGCTGCCAGCCTGCAGGGATGCAACAATGAGACAGCAAGCAAGGCAAGCAGGTCAATGCATAGATCAGGTCAGGTCGGGTCAAACCCGCGGTCAGAAGGCACTGAACGCTCGCTGCCGGGCTCACCTGCTCCTGCTCCATCATCATGAGCTCCAGCTCGCCCACCTGCAGCAGCAGCAGTGATGGGCACGGCAGGGCGAGAGTCAGGGAAGCAGGTTGCAAAGCGGCGACGTCGGAGCGGCGGGTGCGGCTCAGTCGCCCCCTTGCCTCGGCCTCGATTGCGGCCATCTCTGCATCCAAGTTCTGCGACATGTCGTCGTTCTGCAGCGTGAAGCAGGCGAGGGGCTGAGCGTAGGCGACAGGCGCAGTCAGGCCGCAACGCAGTCGCACCCTCTCACCTTGTAGCTGCTGGAAGGGACGCCGGTGATCACGCCTGGCCGCTTGGTGGGCATTGGAGCGGTAAAGGAGGAGCAGGGAACAATGGGGGCAAGCAGTGGAGATGGCGATGAAGAGAGGCATTTTTGAGCCCCATGCAGGCTCACCCAGTCAGCATGCCCGGCCTTCTCGGCCTCCCATTCATTGCGTCACTGGACTGAACAGCTGCTGAGGAGAGACCTGAGAGAGATGGGCGTGGGGACGGACAAGGTGAAACACGGTGCCTGGTCGTTTGGGCGCCCCGCCCATCCCAGCTGCTGCTGGTGCACCGTGGGTGTGCTGTCGGGGCACGAGGGATCGGGGGGCTTCTCCAGATCACCCACATGTCCGGAACCCTCGCTGGGCAAGCCTCCAGGGGAGCGGGGGCAGTGCCCGTGTGCTCACTGAAGGCTCGCTGCGTGGGGGCAGCGGCGCTGCCTGCCTGCAGGCATGCCTGCACCACGCCGCCGCCCGCCTGCGAGCCGCCGCCGCCGCTCTTCATCCTGCTGCCCGCGCTGCCTCCTGCCCCTGCTCTGCTGGCGCGGCGGCATTCATTTCCACGCGCTGACCCGCCTCGATCTTGCCACCCTGCCGTGCAGCGATTCTGGCAGTTTGGCGGCGGCGGCGGCCAGGATGTGGAGACGGGCATGCCGCTGTACCCGGGGGCGGACAGCCTGGACAACGCGCTGAGATGGGGATTCATTCGCAAGGTGCAGGGTGCCACAGCGACCAGCCACAGGCTGGGCTGCTGGTGCCGCGGCTGGAGCGCTTCCAGCAGCAGCGGCAGGCGCGGCCCCTTGATGTCGCCGCCGCTAACAGCATGCCTGCCCCTTGGTGTCGCAACCAGCATGCTTGCCCGCGCCGGCCCTGCAGGTCTACGGCATCATCGCCGTGCAGCTGGTGCTGACCACCATGGTGGCGGCCACCGTGGTCATGAACGCCTCGGTCCAGCACTTCCTGCTGCAAAACTTCGGCATCCAGATCGCGCTCCTGCTCGTCTCCATCCTGGCGCTCATCCCGCTGTACATCTGGCGCACCACCCACCCACACAACCTCATCATGCTGGGCATCTGGACCACGCTGTTCTCAGGTGACGTGTGCTGGCGCAGGCGGGGCGATCAGAGCTGCGGGCGTGCGTGTGCCAGCTCTGCCCTGCGCCTGAGGCATGACCCTCATGGCTCCCGCCCGGCCCGCTTTGCATGCAGTCACCGTCGGCATGACCTGCAGCTTCTACCAGCCAGCCATCGTCCTGGAGGTGAGGGCCGGCTTGGCATGTGGCGGGCAGGCCATGCGCATCGCTACTGCGGCCCACCTGCTTTATGCATGGTGGGGCGTGTCCTGGTGTGCGCCGCACTCACGCGCTGCCTGCCCCCCCCCGTTTGTTGGCACGCTTCAGGCCCTGTTCCTCACAGCTGCTGTCGTGCTGGGGCTCACCCTGTACGCATTCCATGCGACGCGGCAAGGCACAGACCTGACGTTCATGGGTACGCCGCCGCCTTGACAGCAGCGCTCCAGCATCATGCGCTGCAGCCCTTGCACCGCTGCAGCGCTTGCACTCCTGCGCAGTCGCAGCCACTCAGCAGCTGTGTGCGCACTCGTGCTGCAGGCCCAGCACTGTATGGCTGCCTGCTGGCCATGGTCGTGTGGTCATTCATCCAGCTCATCTTCCCGCCCGGCCCCGTGGGGCGCACCATCTTTGCGCTGCTGGGCGCCATCCTGTTCAGGCAAGGGTTGGGGTGGGGGGTGTATGGCTGCCCAAGCTTGCTGCCGATGCCCTGCCCTCACGATCGGCCTCCCCAGCATGTTGCCGAGTTCTGTGCTCGCCTCTGTGCCCGCCTCCCTGCAGTTTCTACCTCGTGTTTGACACCCAGCTGCTCATATCGCGCTTTGACCTCGACGACTACATCTGGGCAGGTGGGGTGTGTGCTTGCTATGTGCGTGTGGTAGTGATGGTGGGGGTGGTGGGGCATCGTGGCCGGCATCATGTCCCTGCTCACCTGCCCCAATCGCCTGCGCTTGCCTGCCCCAACCTGCAGCCATAACCATTTACCTAGACATCAGTGAGTGGCCGCCTGCTGCAGTTTTTGGTTCCAGCCTGGTTGCGTGCACCAGTGTTGCTGTGTTGCCAGCCTGGCTGCCTGATGCACGTTGCATGTCTCATTTCTCTGCATGCTTGCCTGTCTGCAGTTAACCTCTTCTTGTACCTGCTTCGCCTCCTGGGCGAGCAGCAACGCAGCAGCTGACCATGCTGGTGGGATGAGGGAGTGCGGCAGCTGTGGCAGCAAAGGCAGCTGCTGACGCGCATCATTCCAGGTCGCTGCTGGTGTCAACGTGTGCTCCTTCATGTTGAGTCGTCTGGCAATTTACTCAGCTTGAAAGCATAATGCCCTGTAACCTTTCTGTTTTCTGTTACATGATGTTGGCTGCCGCCCTTTTGGGCTGCAGTGCTGTTGTTGTCAATGTTGTTGGCGCCTGTAAACAAACAGCATGTCAGGTGGGACGCCTCCCCTTCCGCCTGCTGCAGCTTGCAGCACAAAGGGCTTGGTGGCATCACGTGCAGCGCCCAGGGGGCAGAGGGAGGCACGGCGCGGTTGGTGGACTAGTGAAACCTAAGAGGTGTGAGGCAGGGAGCAAGAAAGAGAGAGAGAGAGCAAAGAGCAAACAAGGACCAGAGATGTGACAGAAATACAGGCTGGGGATGCGAGGGGCAGGGGCACCAGAGGACTCGTGCCGTGCTAGCGGCGCTCCTGCCGCCCCCCAGCACCGCCCGATCACTGCTCCTTCTTCTTCTGCGGCCGGTACACGCCCACCACCACCGCGTGGTCGCGCTCATAAGGCTCCAGCGTGACCTGCAGGCCACACGGGGGCGGGGGGAGGGGCACGGCGGGCTGTGCTCAGTAGAAGCCACAAATGAGGAAGCTGGCGCAGCAACTGGATGTGAGAGGCATGACGGCATGCATGCGCGTGGCGTGCAGGCAGGGGCGGCCTGTCAGAGTCATGGAAGAAGGGTCACGCGCAGCGGCCCAGGGTGCGCGCCGCGAGGCGTGCGGGGCCAAAGCATCTCTGTGTGTAACAGGTCTTCACTCAGGCCGGGCGAGATGCAGGTGCAGGCGGCGGGCGCAGCGGGCTGGCGGCGGCCCCACAGCCGCAGGCGGCCGCATGCCGCCAGCGGGCACACGGCGAGGCCATGCGCGCCGCCCCTCCCTCCTTACACATACTCCACCCCCCCAGCTCCCCACCTGCTCCTTGGGCTTGAGTTGCTGCTCCTGCAGCTTCTTGACCTCGCGGGCAAACACGGCCTCGGGGGGCGCGGTGGAGTCGATGCACGAGGCCTTGATGGAGATGACGAAGAAGCCGCCGTTCTTGAGGAAGTACTGGGCGTTGAGGCCCACGATGCGCGCCTGCGGGGGGGGGGGGGGGGAGCCAGGCGTGGCGCAGGTCAAGAGGCGAGCACCGGGTGGGGCTGCTGGGCCCCGCCTGCCCGCCCGAATGCCTGCCTGGCTGGTTGCGCAGCCTGCCCCACGTCCGGCCTGCCCCGCTTTGTCCCCCCCTGCAGGGCGCTGCGCGTCTCGCCTGGTCTGGCTGCGCCACGTCGGCAAACACCACGTCCACCATGGGCACCAGCATGCGGTACTTCTGCGGGTGCCGCGCGTCCTCGATGATGGGGATCACGTTGGGCCGCTTCTTGGCCATGTTGACCAGGTCGCGGCCGCTGCGCGGGTGAAGGATGGGTGGGGAGGGAGGGCAGGGAGGAGGAGGGGGGTGGGGGGCCGCGCCTACACCCTCCCGCCCGCCCTGCACCTGCCACCCCTCCTCTGCCGGCCAGCCCTGCCCCTGCCAGCCCTTGTGCGCCACCCCCGGCTCCCCATCCACCCACCATCCCTCCAGCCCAGCCCCACCCCAGCCCCTCACCTGCGGTGCGAGAACTCCACCGCGTACACGCAGCCCTCCGGCCCCACCACGTCCGACACGTGGGACACAGAGGTGCCCGAGGCGGCGCCCAGGTAGAGCACCCTGGCGCCGGGCTTGATGTGGATGTTGTCCACGCCCGCCAGCACCGCGGCCGCCAGCTTGGAGCGGAACGGGTTCCACACGCGGTACTCAATCTTCTCGCCGCCCTCCTGCAGGCGGGCATGGGGCGGGCAGGTGGGCAGGCTGCCGTGGCGAGCGGGCTGGGGAGGCGCGCTGGCGGCCAGGCTCTCCGGCGCTGGCACGCACGCTGCCGCCCCGCTTTGTCGATGCGTGCGGCGGCAAACGGGCTGGTGCCATGCGCCGGCCGCGGCGCCGGGGCCCACCTGCTCCACCGACACCCGCTTCTCGCCGTACACGCTCTCCCCCGGCGCCATGTTGCGGGTGACCAGCGCGTCCTCCTTGCCGCGCGCGATGAAGATGCCGGCGTGGCGGTGCCCCTCCACCACCACCTTGGCGCCGCCCTTCATGCCACCGCGGCCCCCGCGGCCGCCGCCGCGGCCGCCGCCGCGGCCACCGCGGCCGCCGTCGCGCCCTCCGCGGCCGCCGCCGCGGCCGCCAAACTTGGACACCCCGCCGCGGCCGCCGCCACGGCCGCCGGCGCCAAAGCGGCCTGCAGATGAAGGTGTGCGGGCAGCTTCAGTGCCGAAATGCAAGCGAATCTTGCTGCGCAGCCAGAAACAGGCAGCAGCCGGTGTGCTGCGAGCGGGCAACCGAGGGCGGGCAGTGGCGGCGGCGGAGGGGTTCCGCTGCCAGCAGTGGCCCAGTGGGGCCTGGGTGGCGCGTGCTCGATGCAGGGGCCGGCCTGCTGCTGGCAACTGGCCCGCTGGGGGCCTCTGTCCCTCTCCACCCCGTTGCATGCATGCATGGTGCAGGTGCAGCGGCCTCTGCTCACCGCCACCGCCCCTGCCGCGACCGCCATCACGGCCACCGCCGCGACCACCGCGTCCACCAAACATGCTGAAGTGTGCTGACGAGGGGAGCGCGATGTGGGCGCTGCTAACGAGTGCTCCTGCTCTTTACCTCCGATTGCAACAATCCACAGCCCGATGCACCCTGGTCAGGTCAGGAAGGAGAAGTTCATGCCCGTGCCACGCTGTGCAGGCCAGGGTCCCCCTGTTTCCCGCTCCTCTGTGGCTGCTGGCTGGCCTGGAGAGCGTGGCGAGTATAGTTACAGAGAATGTGACACACGTGGGGCACTGGCGGCAGAGCCGTGCCGGCGCGGGCGGCGGGCGGGCGCCGCCAGAGAACAGGCGCCCGCGCTCAGCGAGCCAGCGGGCCACCTCAGTTGGTGGACACCTTCTCCGTGTGGGGCTCCAACGGCTTCACAAACCTGCCCCAAAGCAGGGCAGCGGCGGAGCAGGCGGGTCGGTGAAGAGTGGCGGCGGCGTGGATCCCACTTGCTTAGGGCGGCCAGTTCGAGAGCATGCCGCGGGCTGCCACCCCTCACACAGACAGCTTGCGCCGCCCCATGGCGGCGCCCACCCATGACGCCCCCCCCCCCCGCCGCCACCTGCTGCCGCGGCTGCCGTCCCTCCAGGCCTCGTCCCCCCCATTGAACTACTGCTCCTTGGGTTTGGGGAAAGGGGGGGGGGAAGCCTTCCACTGGAAACACCGCCTCGTCGCCGCCCACAAGGCTGTCAATCAGGCCGTAGTTCTTGGCCTCCAAAGGAGACATGTACCGGTCGCGGTCCGTGTCCTCCTCAATCTGCGGCGGGGCGCGGGAGGGGGGCAGGCGGGCGGGGGTGGGGTGCGGCGTGGCGGCGGCATGCGGAGGGGCGCGGTCGAGCGCCTGGCAGCCGCTGTGCCCCGGCGCCGCACCTTCTCGATGGGCTGCCCCGTGTACTGCGACATGATGCGGTTGAGGTTGGCCTTGTGGTACATAATCTCCTTGGCCTGGATCTCAATGTCCACGGCAGCCCCGCTGGCGCCGCCCAGCGGCTGGTGGATCATGATGCGCGCGTTGGGCATGGAGTAGCGCTTGCCGCGCGTGCCCGCGCCCAGCAGGAAGGCGCCCATGGAGGCGGCCAGGCCGAAGCAGTAGGTCTGCACGTCTGCGCGGCACATCATCATGGCGTCGTAGATGCCCATGCCCGCGGTCACGCTGCCGCCGGGGGAGTTGATGAACATCTTGATGTCCTGTGGGGGGCGGGGCAGGGGGGCGGGGGCGGGCGTGTGCATACAGGGCTGGTGGGCAAGGCAACGAGGCATGTGCTGTGCTGGGCAGCCTGCATCCCGCGTGGCGTGCCGGGCGCAGGTTGCGCTGTGCCGTGCTGGTGTGGCGCCCCACCTTGGTGGGGTCCTGCGCGTCCAGCAGCAGCAGCTGGCTGATGATGGCGTCTGCGCTGAAGTCGTTGACCTGCGGGCGGGGAGGAGGGGGTGTGGAGGTGGGTGGGAGGCCAGCAGCCAGCCAACAAAACGGATGGGTCGCGCAGAGCACAGCACAGACAAGGCGCTGCATGCCCATCAACACACGACTCTGTGTCGCTCATGATATCAGCTGGGCCAGGCTGCAGACATCCCCTCTGCCCAAAGGCACGGCTTGCCACCGGCGTTGCCGGCCGGCCACCCCTCGCCGCACCTCGCCACCAAAGAACACAATGCGTTGCCGCAGCAGCAGGCCAAAGGGGTCACCCGCCATGTCCTGCGTCCTGCAGCCCAGCGGCGATGGCAATGGCACATGCAGGCAGCATGAGCAATGTTCGGCAGGGCAGCCCCACGGCAGGGGCGGGGGCGGGGAGCGGCGGCGGCGGGCTCGAGGGTGGGTGAGTGGGTTTGTGTGGTCATAGCGCAGCGGGGTCGTTCCGCGACACAAACCTAGGGGACAAGATTGGCTGCTGGCCCGCGATGATGAGCCGGGAGGGGCCCTCGCTGCCGCTGCTGTGGGCAGAGCAGGTCACAGCTGCCCGCCTCTGTGCCCTGACCGCCCTGGGCGCTTTCACCAAGCTGCTGGCGGCTGCCGAGCTGCTGCTCTGGCCCCGCATGCAGCCTGGCCGCTGCAGGGTGGCGAGAGAGGCCATCGCGCCTTGCTGTGAGCTGCCTGGCCGCCTCACCGCGTTGGAGTGCCGCCTGCCTCTATTCAGATTGGCCAGAGGCCGTTGCGTGTGGCCCAGCCACCTCTTCATCCACATGCTCTCAGTACAGGCAGGACGGTGGCGCCTTCTGGCCACTCTGCGCCCTTCCCCCCACTGTTTGCCACACCACAGCCAATCCACGGCCACCTACAGGGCCGTGCTCCTCCACAGCGCCACCCCCAGCTGTCGGCAACAGCCCTGCACACCAGCAGCACCCTCGCCGGACTCTTGGCAGCAGCATAGGCAGCATGGAGCCCCTGTCGCGGGAGGCGCTATCCAAGCTGGCCAAGGACGTCAAAGACCTGGGCCAGAACGCCATTGACGGTGTCAAGGTGGGCTGGGGAGCGTCAGGATGGCACACAAGGTCCCCAGCGGCTGTGATGGACCGCATCAGGGGCGCCCAAGGGGTTAGGGCGGAGCTGGCAGACGGAGCGCAGGGATGTTTGTAATCGGCGGGCCACCGTCACTGTTTGGTGCCTGGCGCAGGTGGTGGTGAATGATGACAACCTGACGGATATTCAGGCCGAGTACGAGGGACCAGGTAAGGGTTAAATAGGCACAGGGCTGGCTGCTGGGGGCGTGGCACGCTTGAGGTGCTGCGTAGGCGGGCAGTCGTCAGTGGCAGTGACAGTTGGGCCACAAAGCAGTACTCTCCCTCTCTTTCTTCACCCCGCCCCACGTTGTCGGCTCCGCCTGCAGCGGGCACGCCCTTTGAGGGCGGCCTCTTCCGCATGCGGCTGGCAATTGGTCCTGAGTTTCCCAGCTCGCCGCCCAAAGGTGGGGCGGGTGGTGGGGGCCGTACGGCTTGCAGCTTTGGCATGGGTTAGGGGGGCTGCCTGAGCGGTGGCGCGTCGCCCAGCTGCTAGTATGCACCTTCCCAGGTTCACAACGCTTTGCTGCCGACTGCCACATGCTGTCGCTTGGCGAAGCGTTCTTGTCAGCCCCCTCACCCTCTCCTTGTGATGTGTGCCCCCTGCAACTGCCGCTGCCAGGCTACTTCATCACCAAGATCTTCCACCCCAATGTGTCGGCCTCGGGCGAGATCTGCGTCAACGTGCTCAAGCGCGACTGGCGGCCCGACCTGGGCCTGCGCCATGTGCTCACTGTCATCCGCTGCCTGCTCATCGAGCCCAACGCTGAGTCGGGTGGGTTGCAATTACGGTGGCATGGGTGGCGCGGTGGGTGCGGAGGCTGGCAGCCTCGATGCATGTCTAGCTGGGCGTTGCTGCCTGCCAATGTGGCAGCCCAGCCTGCTCACCTGGTCGCCCTGTTCCCGGCCGGCCACTGCAGCGCTGAATGAGGAGGCGGGCAGGCTGCTGCTGGAGGGTTTTGGGGAGTTTGCCAAAAAGGCGCGGCTCATGACCAGCATCCACGCCAAGAAGCCGTCTGTGCTGACAGCAGCGGGCGGCGCCAACGCGGTCAACGCAGATGGCACCTCGGCGGCCGGTGCAGCGGATGGCAAGCCCGCAGCAGCGGCATCGGGCTCTGCAGCTGCGGCTGGGGCGGGCGCTGCCAAGCCCAGCAAGGCGGCGGCGGCCAAGCTAGCTGAGAAGAAGAAGAGCCTGAAGCGGTTGTGATGACCCAGCCCCGTCCACCCGCTCTTCTTCTGCTTCCAAGCAGCGGCTGCCGCTGCGCTTGCGCCGCTTCGGCGGCTACCTGTTTTCTTACTGCGGCCTTCGCCTCCCAGCACTGACGTCCCTGACATGTTTCCCTTCCAGCAGGCCCATTGTGTTGCTGAACCCGCTCCCTCTGTTGGTTCCTTCTGCTCCCCTCCTCCGCTGCTGCTGTCGTCCTGCTGAGCTGCCGCTCCCGACATTGCGGGGCCCTGCCCTCTCACGCTAGCTTTAGGTGACACGCCAACCACCCCACTGGGCAGCCAGCAAACTCACTGTTTCTTTTCTCCGACTTCCTTGACTTCCCTTGCCTGACAATTGATTGGCGCCGGCCTGCTGGCCCAGCGTCGTGCCTGTACGGCACTGACTGTGACACAAGAGGCACACAGTGACGGGCAGGGTGGCGTGGTTTACAGGTGGGGGGCGGAGCAAGGAGGAGAATGGAGGGCAGCGCCATCAGTGGGTGGTCGTCAGGGTGCAGCCACCACCCGCAGCGTGTGCAGGCTGCCATCGCTGCATCCGGTGACAGTGCCGCCATGCCGCAGCACGGCCTGCACCTGCTGCAGCACCACCTCTGTGATCACCTCCCCTGGGTACAGCGCCGGCACGCCTGGCGGGTAGGGGCACAGCAGCTCCGCCGAGATCCTGCCCCCCGCCTGCCCCGCTGGCACCGCCTCTGCCGCCGCAAAGAACGCATCCCGTGGGGACAGCCTCACGTCTGGTGTGGATGGCACTGCAGGCGGGGCTGCCGGGCTGCTGCTGGAGGCACTGCTGCTGCTGCTGCTGCTGTTGTCGCCGTAATGCTGCTGGCACAGCTGCTGCACTGCAGCCACCAGCGCTTGCGCGTGCTGCTGCGTGCTGCCAATGCCCATTGCCAGCACCACGCAGGTGGGCGTGGCGAGCTCCGCCACAATGCCGCACTGCTGCTCAAGCACTGCCGCTGCCTGGTAGCCTGTGAGCCCCAGCTGCTGCAGGCTGATGGTGAGGCGCAGGGGATCCAGACCAACCCCACCGCTGCCAGCCACCTGGCCCGCTGACAGCAGCTGCACGCCAGGCAAGCGCTCCAGCTGCTGCCTTGCATAGGCCGCCGCCGCTAAGGCCTCTTCGTGGGCGGCCGGGGTGCTGGCCTGCTCCCGTGCCGCGTCCAGGGAGCTCATGAGCAGGTAGCTGGGGCTGGAGGACTGCAGCACCTGCAGAGCGCGGCTGACGCGCTCCCGCGCCACCCGCCCTCCCCGCACGTGCAGCATGCCCGCCTGCGTCAGCGCCGACAGCTGCTTGTGGGTGGACTGCACCGCCATGTCGGCGCCCTGCTGCAGCGCAGACGGCGGCAGCGCCGGGTGCAGCCCCAGGTGAGCGCCGTGCGCCTCGTCCACCAGCAGCGGCACGCCGCGCGCGTGGCACACCGCCGCCAGGCCTGCAGGCGTGGCGGCACGCAGCTGAGCGGCGTGTCGAGGCGGCCCGCTCCAGCGCCCATCAACAGCGTCTGCTGCTGCTTGTCGGCATCAGCGAGGCGCGGCAGTGCTGCTGCCCTGCGCATCAAGCGCCTCACGCCCCATGCCCACCTGCAATGTCGCTGAGCACTCCAAAGTAGGTGGGCGACACCACGAGGGCGGCCCCCACCCTCAGCTCCTGCCGCGCAGCCGCCTCAAACGCTGCCTCCAGCGCCGCCGGCGCCACGTGGTGAGCGATGCCCAGGTGCGCGTCGCAGCATGGCTGAGCGTACACGGGCGTGCAGCCTGCCAGCACCATGGCGTTGAAGGCCGACAGGTGGGCGTTGCGGGCCAGCAGCAGGGCGTCCCCGGGGCCGCACGTGGCCATGACGGCGGCGTGGATGCCGGCGGTGGTGCCGTTGACCAGGAACCAGGTGGCATCCGCGCCCCAGGCCGCCGCCGCAAGCTGCTGCGCCGCCAGGATGGGGCCGCTGGGGGAGCTGAGGATGTCCAGGCCTGCGCCGCATGGGAGGGCGGGCACGGTGGTGGGCTGGAAAGGCGGGCAGGCAACCTGGGTGAGCCCGGCGGCCACCAGCACGGACCTGCAGTTAACGCATGGGATGTTGCCACCAGCGGGTAAACTCCCACACTGCACTGCACAGGTCCAGCAAGCATTATGTACTATGCCCACCTTCCAGCTCGGTGAGGTCGTATCGCTCAGCGCCGGCCAGCATGCGGCCCAGGCAGGGCGGCGTGCCGCCGCCTCGCTTGTGCCCAGGCACATGGAAGGGCACCTCCTGGAAGCGTTCCCCCCGCTCTACCACAGCGTCCAGCAGAGGGGTGGGCTGGGCGTGGATGGCACTCCGGCGGCGCGGGCCTGGCGGGCAGGCAGCAGCGGCGGCGGCGGCGGGCAGCGCTGGAGGAGGCCCAAGCCCTGCTGCTAGCATTGCATTGTGGTATGCAGACGGTCCGATTTTTTTTAATGCGTGAAGCCTGATGCAGCTACCCTAGTCCCCTGCTGCCTTGTGCAGTCGGAAACGGGGACCGATGGTGTCGCACAGGGCGGGGCAGCGCTGCAACGAATTGTAAACGATCGCAGTTGCTGTGTAATTCAACCCCAGCATGCACGGCGCCTGCCAGAGGCCCCGTTTTAGGCGGAATTTGGGCGGGGAGACGCTGGAAAGCGGGGACAACAATGTAGATGGGCCCGCAAACGGCCCCCCTGTGTCCCTCCGACGATCGGCAACACCCCCTGGACCGGGCCCTCGCATCTCCCAATCCAGAAAGCCCCAGCAGGCCCCCCCAGGCAGCCGGCCTGCAAGGATGGCCGGCCGCGGCGGCTTCTTCCGCGGCGGGGCGCCCAGCCTGAGGCCTGAATCGGCCATCAAGCGGGCTGACGAGCTGCTGAGCGTGGGCCAGAAGCAGAACGCCCTGCAAACGCTGCATGACACCATCACCAACAAGCGGCAGCAGCGCAACTGGACCAAGGCGCTGGAGCAGGTGCGGCAGGGTGGGAGGCGCAGCTGGGCGGCCGCCTCGCCATCACCCTCGCTTGCATGTCATGCTTTGCCAGCGTCGCCCACCCCGGCCCCTCCTCCTGTCGCAGGTCATGTTCAAGTACATTGACATCTGCGTGGACATGAAGCAGGGCCGCAAGTGCAAGGACGCGCTGATCAACTATCGCAATGCCTGCCAGCAAGTGAACGTGGGCTCCCTGGAGGACGTGATCAAGTACCTGCTCCAGGTGGCCAGCCAGCGGGCCGAGGAGGCCAGCAAGGCGGCGGAGGCCAAGCTGGATGCGGTGGAGGACCTGGAGGCGGAGGCGAGCCCGGAGGAGATGATGCTCAGCTACGTCAGCGGCGAGAAGAGCAAGGACCGCACGGACCGCGAGATGGTCACCCCCTGGTTCAAGTTCCTGTGGGAGTCGTACAGGTGGGGAGCGGCGGGCGGGCGGGCAGGCCGTGGAGGAGCGGGCAGACCCGGCACCGTTGCTTTGCATTTCGTGGCGGCCAAGCTGCTGTGCGGTTTGGCTGTGGTCAGCTCTGCAATTCGGCTGATGCGCAGCACATGTGGGAGGGACGCCCTTGTGCCCGCAACAGAGTCGGCGTGCTCTGGCGGCGAGCCGAGGGCGGCGCCGGCGCAGCAGCAGCAGCAGCAGCGGTGGCCTGGTGCCCCATGCGGCGCTCGACCCTGCGGCGCGGCCGGCTGAATGCCTGGCTGCCTGCGCCGCCCCCTCCCTGGGCGCGTGCGTGCAGGAATGTGCTGGACATCCTGCGCAACAACTCCCGCCTGGAGGCGCTCTACTCCATGGCCACATCCCGCGCATGCCAGGTGCGGCGGTGGCGCCACGGGGCCATTGCGCGCCACGGGTGCTGCTCCGCGGTGCCGGCAGCTGCGGGTGGCAGCACGGGCAGGCAGCAGCCTGTCGTCGCGCTGCCGCCGCCTGGCCTCAGCCCGCCCTTGCCCCGGGCCCCCTGCCCACCCCGCGTGCCCCTGCCCCCGCGCAGTTCTGCCTGGCGTACAAGCGCACCACCGAGTTCCGCCGCCTGTGCGACATTGTGCGCAACCACCTGACCAACCTGCTCAAGTACCGGGACCAGGGCGGGCGCGACCGCACAGACCTCAAGTGAGAGGCGCCGCTGGGTGCCGGGCATGCCAGCCGGGGCGGGCACGGCATGGCTACTTGTGGACTGATTCACCTGGAGCAGCAGGCCAGGCAGGGCGCGAGGCCTGGGCAGCAGGCAGCGCGGCCCCTGGCTGCTGACCGCCCCCGCCCTGGTGCCCCACCACCACCACCCCACCGCCACCACACACGTGCCGCCCCCCGCAGGCGGCCCGCATGCGCGCGCTGGCCGAGCGGCGCGAGGCGCGCCGCCAGGAGCGAGACCTGGCCCGCCGCCGCGAGTATGTGCGGCGCTGCCGTGTGCAGCTGGAGGAGCTGCGGAGGGAGGAGGAGGAGGAGGCGGCGCGGGTGGAGGCGGAGAAGAAGGCTCGAGAGGTGCGGCGGCGGCGGCAGCGGCGGCGGCGGATGTCGTGTGCTGCTTGGGGAGGCGGGGGAGGCGGCAAAGGGTGCCCTGCTGCCTGCGGCCAAGCCCTTCCTTCCTTCATTGCTCCTGCCCTTCCTTGCTTCCTGGGCTGCCCCCCGCTCACGCTTTGCCGCGCTGCCCCCGCCTGGCGCAGGAGGCGGAGCGCCGGCG